GCAGCCACGTTGGAAAAGCTAAATTTTTTTTGTTTGGCCAGTTGAACCAACCCTCCCCCCCACCCCCCCGCAGTGAAAGCGAGGAGGCCTAACCACTGGGCCGCCAGGGAATTCCCCAAACTAAATTTTTTTAAAGTTGCTCTCTCTCAGTTTGTCCCGGTGTCTCCTTTATTATAAATCCTTTCACTCATTCATTTACTCATCCTAAATCAGAGGTATGAAGCATCTAATGCAGCGCTGGGGCTGGGGCTCTCCTATCCGTGCTTTTATGAAATAATCTGCTGACGACTCCCACGGATAAGTGAAACAAGTGTGGCTCCGCGGAGGCCGGAGCGGGCGGCGGGCGCGTGATTTCTGCGCCGGGACGGCTACGCCCCGCCCCCCCCCACGCGCGCTCCCTTCCAGGGGCGAATGCGGAGCTGGGCCCGGCCCCAGCCACGGGTCCTGGATCGTGCCCTTCGCTGGCTGGTCAATGAGGTTGGATTGTCCTGGCCCAGAAGGCCACTTCCTGCCACGACCGGAGCCGGCCGTTCTTGTGAAAGTTGCCCCCCAGGGAAGGAAGTGGCTTTGGGCTGTTTATTTTGGCTGCGGGCTAGCAGACGGCGCCGGAGGCCGCCGACCTGGGGTTCGCAGAGCTGGGCTGGGGAGCCTGGCGGACCTCGTGGCCGCGGCGGGGCTGGGGGAGGGGTCTGCGCCCAAAGGCCCCGGGCCGCGCCGCGGACATGGGGGCGCATCGCGGAAGGAGGGCGCACGGCCTAGGTGGGGGGCGCAGCGGCCGCGAAGACCCGGAACTCCGAGGACGGGCTGGGCCCAGCACCTCGGGTCCTGGAGGCGGGCGTGAGGGAGGATGGGGTCAAGGTGGGCCCGCCCCTGGGATGTTCCAGCAGAGGAAGAGACGTGGGGACCCGGCAGGGGAGCGAGGCTGCGGGAGCTGCCCGTGAGCAGAGGGGTGCCGGGTCCCCCCAGAGGTTAGAGGCGATATGGGGCTCGGCATCCCCCGCCCTTCCTAGCCTTCGTACAAGATGGGGCCTGGGAAAGGACAGGCCGAAAATATCGTGATGCTTTAGTCTGAGAAGACAAAAGACAGCAGGGCATGAGATCAAACGCTCTTAAATCGCCACGGGGGGAAGGTCAGGGCGGGTGAGGATTTGCGTCTCCGAGAGCCCCAGGGGCCAGCTCCCCTCAGCTGGCACCACCTGGGGGACCCAGGCAGAGCCGTGGGAGGGTGAAAGCTGCCTTTCCGAATTTACCGGAATTCGCATCCCCCCTTCACACCATCCTCTTGCATGTATTAGGTGACAAGCCCATCTCTTAACCCGTTCTCTGCCAGAGTTTGCTGTAACATCTTAGAACACAGCCTATCACATCGTGCAACACAGACATTTTAAGGGGGGAGAAGAGAGTCCCTAGAGGAGGTCCACCGCTGCTGGAGAGATTGAGAGAGACACTGCACACAAGCGTGCGGCGTGTGACAGCCGCGGAGCCTCCTTGGGGCTGTGTGTGTTCGGTTTTGTCACATGCTCTGTAAGCGATGGGGGGGCCAGCAGTTTGGCCTGGCTGGAGTGGAAGGGCTGCTGGGGAGGAGGCCGGAGAGTAGGAAAAGCCTGGAGGGTGGACGGTAGAGGGGGAAGCCCACACTAGCTCAGGATTTTGGTGGGGATGCTGCACAGCTGGGCAGAGTATTGGGCCTCAAAGGCATGTGACTCCCCTGCCCTCCATGGAAGGAAAGCCCTGCCCACCCCCACCCCCCAGGTCCAGTGTGCGTGCAGGGACATGGACACAGCCTCTAGTAGAGGGTGGCGCAGGGTGGGATGCCTGGTCCCCAGGGTTGGCCCCTCTGCAGGGCGGAGCTGGCAGCTTCTGCTGACTCGGACATTTCCAGGCCTGGCCTCAGGGCCAAGTGGCTCACTGAAAACAGCTGCTCCTTTTGGCTGGCAGCCCTGCGGGCGGCCGTGGCTCTCCCTGGGATGACCCCTGGCCTCTGCGTGGCCTGGGGAGGGGTGCCAAAGGGGGAGACGGCCAGGGTGGGGGGCGGGTGGTGGGGGGAGAGACTCAGCGGCTGGAGGCCACCCTGCTCCGCCCTCTGGGACCAAATATGGTCAGCTCCCCCGGGCTCTCCAGCTGGTCCCTGGTCCCCAGCTCTCTAGGAGCTGAGCCAGGCTGTTCGCTGGGTCCCCAGTCTTTGATTCTGCCATTCCCCGAACTTGGAATACCCTCCGTGTCCTTGTCTCTGCTTGCGCCTTTCCGGGTTTTGTTTGACAGGTCCCTCGTTCAGTAGATATTTGTGGAGAGCCTGCTGTGTGCCAGGCACTGTGCTAGAGTGAACTTCCCCTCCGCTTCCTTCAGCGAGATGTCTTCAGCTTGTGATGGGGAACAGCCGTCTCATCGGAGGTCAGACCTCTGGCTGCCTCTGCTGCTGGGCTGAGTCCGGGAAGCTGCAGGGACAGCTGAGAGGTTTGCTGCTGAGAAACAGACAGTTGTGAGCCTCTGCACTCAGCCTCAGGACCAGCACATTGTCTGTACCTTACAGCAGATGGGAAAGGAAAGGAGGCCACAGTGACCCTCAACCCGGAGGGAGGAGGTGGGGTTACTCAGTGTAGGGCAGATATCTTTAAAACCCAGTTACCTCTGAGCACAGGAATAAATTTCCAGGGTGATGCCCTGGTTATCTGAGAAGCAAGGAAGTATGGATTCCACACCAGAAAGATTCCTTCAGTTACCTGGGAAATCCATTTCTATCCATTTACCCCCAACCATGTGGTATAAATTAGATCTGTTTTGCACACTTGTTGATGTGTTGCTTGTAACTTTTTCATGGATTGCTTTGTGAGTTCTACATCTCCAGCTTCACTGTAAACATCTTGAGGGCAGAAGCCATATCCTTAATTTCCCTATAGTATCTAGTTCAGTGTTTTGTAAATGCTTGTCATTGTCATGAATGAGAAAGTCTCTGGGGGAGCAGCCGGAGACCGATGGAGAGGATGCAGTGGGTCCAGCCTCCAAGCACCTCTTCTGACGTGCCCAGAGGCAGCCACCGGCCCAAGAAGCTCATCATTGGTCTGACGGTCAGAGGGGACTCTGAAACAATGCCTCCAGGGGAGTAAGGAGCATGGACCTAGGGTTGTGTGTTTATCAGGATTCTTTGGTTACGAGGACAAAAGCGTGACGCAAACCAGCTCAGCAAAAAAAAAGAAAGGGATGTGGCTGCAAATGATCCTGAGTGATGCACAGTGCGGAGGAAGAGCCGCAGGAACCCAGGGGCTGGGGCTGGACATTCTGCACCACAAGGACTCACTTCCTCTCCTTCCATCTCTCAGCTCTGCATCTCTTTCCATAGTATCTTCTTCCTTGCTTACAACAGAAAGATCTTTTCCTCATGGTAGGAAACGTGGCCATTGGCAGCCCCAGTTTAGCCACGTGAACAGAGAGGAGACGTCAGGGCTCCAGGAGAGGACTCTGATCTGCCCTGTTTAAGTGCCAATCACTGTAGCCAGGGGGATGGTTTGAGTTAAGTGCCAATCACTGTAGCCAGGGGGATGGTTTAAGTGCCAATCACTGTAGCCAGGGGGATGGGCATGATTATTGGCCAGTAGTGAGCCTCGTGCCCACTCACATAGCTAGAGATGCAGGAAAATACTTTATAAATAATAAGGGGAAGAGGGTGGGGAGTTTGCTAGGTAGACAAAAACAAAGACCAGAGACTACGGGCAGCTCCACGAG